TGGGTTCATCGGAAGATGGTCTGGAATGTGGAACATTGATTCTAATGTTTGGAAGCTCTATTTCAAGCAACAGGCAAGCAGGACTCGACACAAAAAACCTTGAATGCATCCAGTCCGTTCTGGTAGAGGAGGTAGGTTTGGAAGTAACTTAACTTCAGTGTCTTGCCTGAGGATGATCGCCTCCAACAAGTGGCGGAAGCTTGCTTCTGGGCGAATGCTGGCCGTGTCGTGTCAATCGAAATGTCATGGATCCGCTGATGTGTGCAGCTTGCTGATCAGTGGCATCTCCCGGGGAAACGTTCCATAAAACTGATGGTTTCGTCCACAGAAATGTGTATTTGTCCAAACCTCAGAGTCTTCCTTAGCTCTTCTTGTTGGGAGGATGTGTTTTGGCTTCCCAGCTGCCACAGTGAAACTGAGACAGAATAGCTTTCAAACGATATCAGCGAGACCACATGCCCAATCATGCCCAGCTATATCCAAATCTTGGAGACGTTCAACTGCCGCCCCAATGTCACCGACACTTGGTCATCGCATGTGTCAACGGTGTCGCACGACTGGGACGGGCCGGTTGTGCACTAACACGGCATACTTTGGCGTTGTTTGATGTTTTGTTATGTGTTTTTCTCGTTACTTTTATTGGTACATTTTGGCGTATCAATCTGGTTGGTTAACTCTGGTTCTTTCCCGGACAGGGCACATGTGTCAAAGGTGCGTGAAGTTGTCAAAAACCACATCACGTTCAGTGTATATGGAAGTTTCACAAAAGTTGGTCTTTCCAATCTTTGGTTCTTTGGATGTTCTTTGGATATCCAGGGTTGGGTTGTTTGTTGTCTTGTGTTGCCGCTGTCTGCCACCTGGCAGCCAATTTATTTTCAAAGTCCTCGGCGGTTAGACCATACCCATAGCTGCCATGAAGCGGCCAGCATCATCAATGTCAACAGTGGTCAAGAAGCCGGCAAAGAAGGAATTTGTCAAGAAGCCCGCTTCGAGGACCGATTGCTGACTGGGGGGGGAAGCGGACAGCAACCGTTGGAGAATGGGGCAGGAGAAGTCTCAAGCGGGCAGCTGGCCTGGCTCAAGAGAAAGTCAGGTTTTCAGGTTTTTTTGTGCTGAGACCACTCTCAAACAAAATCGGCCATTGTCATCTTATGTTGGTTTCTTTTCTTTACATTCCATCAGGCAGCTCAGGTAGGTCAAGAGGGAAAGCATCATGACTAGGATCAGTACTAAAGGCTGTTCATACTGAGGTTAGGAATTTGTCCTGTGTTCGCTTTGGTAGAGTGCCTGAGCCATGCCAGCGAGATTGGAGTTGGTCAAGCTCTTGGGGAGAAAGTGCACATGTACGCACTTGACTTGCTTGCAGCAATTTCAAGACGTGGCTGCAGATGTCCAGCAGGAAAGAAGCCGGTTCGATGCATTGGATGTGGATCGCAAGGACTTCAGATAGAATAACAAAGCCATTCTTTAAAGCACCTCTAATTTAATGGTCTGTATCCATGACTGGCCTGTTTAGCTCCCAAATATATCATGATCAGGGCAAAGGTCATAGGATTCTTTCCGTCTTTTTCAAGGTCACCTGGTAAATTGAGCAACGCTTTCCCCTGGAAGGAAGATTTGCTTAGGAAGTGGTACCACGCTGACAACACCAATGAATTTGAGTCTGGAGCTGCTATGCTACCCTCTCATGAAGAAGTTCTTATGGAAACTGATTCGGAAGGTAGTGGCCATGCAGGCCGTGTCTTATTGCAAAGCGACTCAGAGCAAGAAGAGCTTGTCGCAACGCCAATTGGCAGTGATGACATTTTGCTAGCAACTCCTTCTGAGGGGGAAGAACCACCAAAAAAGAAACAACGCTCTTATGCCACAAATAGGAGTGCCTCTCACGAGCTTCGTTTCTTGGGCAAGCCTGTTTGCAGGTTTGCTCACGTGAGGCTGTACTCTGTCGGTTCTGGTGCATTGCAGAGATTGCGCCGAGGCCAACGTGCATACACCATGAATTCTGGGAGGCTCCAAGAGCCAACTCATCCCTCTATCGGGGTGTCACTGGTTCGGTCGCCTCTGAACCAAAAGTGGCCATCCATCATGTCATTCTTTTGGATGCTTTGGATCAGTTGTGCAGAGATTCTACCCATGAAATTCATCATGCCGGGAAACGGGCAGCTAGTGGAAAGCTCCATGCAGAAAGACCCAGACTTCCAGGAGAGGTATGTCCAGGGGTTTTTGGCTTGTCTTGAGCGGAACTATGACATGAATCCAGTTCCTGGTCAAATCTATTATTCTTTTAGACCATGGTTTGCCAGTTTAATGAAATGTTCAAGGAATCCTTTCATTTGCCTGAGAATCCCTCAGCAAAATCTGTTTTAAACCGTTTTGTCAATCTGTCAAACCAATTTTTCATCTGAGGTTGTCCAGGGTGGACCCGGTACCTTTGAAGGGCCAAGACGATATTTAGAGTGGCAGCGCCCCATGGACCTCTATGTACAGTATCAGACATATTGTGAATCTGGAGGGTTGGTGTGTGCATCGTTTTCCACTTTCAGAAGAGTCATGAAGGCAGTGTTCAAGCACCACCTCCGGTTCAGAGACAAGGGCGCTTTTGGACAGTGCGATGTCTGTTTTCGTCTCCGGAAACGGGTTCGAAATGCGGCCAACAAACAAATCAAGGCAATCAATATCAAACTCTATTCGGAGCACTTGTTGCAGCAGTGGGCTGACAGACAGTTCTATTGGAACTTAAGAAGTTTGAGCCGCCACTACTTCTCAGAATCCCTCCACTTTTCCAAGCGGCTGGCAGCTTCAAGTGTATCGTCTTCTTTTCTTACCATCATTCAAGATGGTATGGATCAAGCCAAACTCCGACTACCAAGGTTTGGATATGGGAGGCTCAGTAAGGCAGCAACGAAGTTGTTTCGCCCAGCGGCGCATCTTTGCGCCAGCTGGGTGCATGGCTACCGGCTCAATCTCTTTCTCTCAGACGAAAACCTCAAGAAGGATAGCCAAACATCGATGGAAGTTTTGAGCCTCTCCCTGGAGCACCTATTCAGCCAGTGTTCCTCCTTCCCGCTCACCCTCCACTTACAGCAAGATAACTGCTACAGGGAAGGAAAAAACAAGTTCATGTTTCGATTCCTATTGATCCTTCAAATTCTTGGAATCTTCCGATTTACAGCTGCGGGATTTTTAAGGACATCCCACAGCCACGATGACGTCGACCAGGTCTTCGGACAAGTGGCAAGACTTCTCATGGGAAAGGCATGTCAGTCGGCCTCGGACATGATCAGCCTTTTGGAGCACTGCATTGAGCAAGGTCAAGCCTCTGATCAGTCTGGTCGCATTCGGGGCTCCATGGCTACTGTGGCAAAGCTGGACCAGGTAACTTGCTGGAAACAGTTTGGAACACAGCTTTCAGTTTCATTCAAGGGAGTTCGGCATGTGCACTACTTCAGGTTCAGTTGCCGCAAGGATTTGGGACCTGACGTTCTGAACAATGTCTACGAACTGGAGGAAATGAATGGCAGGGACCCTCATGCTGATGACGTGTTTTTAGTGACAAAAAGATGGCTCTCAGATACCCAGATCCAGCGGGCCATCTGCGTTGTACCAGCGGCTGTGGGCCACTGCAATCAGAGCTGGCTACCATCCACCGGCTGGCCTCGCTCCTAGAAGGGTGATTGGTGATAATGTGATCAAAAACCTCCAGAAAAGAGTCCCAATCTGTCAGCGAAGCGGTGAGCTGTCAACAGAGGGGGCAACATACTTGCTGGGGTGGTCTCAAGGAACTTTACCTCAGAAACCAAAGCCGGATGCGTACACATTCTTGAACTACCGATGGTCGCCGGACATGCGGACTGAAGTCCACCGTCCAGGAAGTTGGACACAGCCGCGCCGCGTGAGACATTTTGATCTCGCATTGCAAGGTGATCCCAATGCTGGCAGTGACAGCTCGGACTCTGATGATGGTCCAGTGCAGTTGCCCATTGGTCTGGGCGGCGATTGAATCAGTCTGAACTTGGAAAAACCATCTGCGCCTAGGATGTTTTTTGGGTGGCCGATTCACTAGAATTGCGCCATTGGGAGCAATTTAGGCTATTGTGACAAAGCTAGACCAGGGTACCATGGGTCTACCAAAACCAAGCGGCTCAACATCCAAAGAGGATTGAAATTAGAAACAGAAACAGCCTACCAGTTCATTGCCAAGCCCAGCACAGGTCTAGTTCTTTCCAAAGCTGGGCGATAAATCGGCCCAGGTCTTCCTTCAGATATGGTCTTTTCTGAGCCTCCCCTTGCATGGAGGTGAATTTTGGTCTGGCGGTTCGGCTGACAAGTGCAACGTGGTGGGTCTTACACACGTTAGGTTCTACCATCCAAAAACACTCCATCGTGGATCACCAATGCAGGGTCCTACAATACACCTGCTGCGCATAGCGAATCCCAACGCCAGGACTCGTCGCAATGGGGATCATTCTTCGGATGATGGCCTTCGTATAGAGTCCAGCGATGAAGGCAGGGTGCCGTTGACATATGTGGCCATCTTGTTGTATGTAGCGAGGAGTCTATGGTTTCAACAAAAAACAGCAACCAGTTGCACTCAGCTGCCATGGCTGAATCAACTAGACATGTCTGTTCTCCAAGAAGGATTCCCCACACGCTGGCCAGGCAATCGCACTACTTCACCTTCCATGCTGCTAGCCTCGGATGAGGAATCTGGTCCAATGAAGCGAGATGGACCGGAGGAAGGAATCCCTATGAAACTTCCAGCCCTGGATGAACCAAATGTCACTTTGAATTCAATTCACAGCTTTCTGGCGGGTATTTCCATTATATATACAAACTAGCAAGCAACCCAAAAGACCCTAAAGTATGGGATTGATCTTTGGAAAACCGGACCAGGGAAAGTGTTACCACAATAATAATACCTTCTACTTACTGTACTACTCAGGGTTGCAATGGACCCAATGACTGCGTCGCTTGAGGTGGATGCCTTTGTTGGTGACTTCATGCACAACCCGCACTTTGAAGAGTTACGGACGAAGCTCGCTGACACCTTTTCGCAAGTGAACCGCATTACTGTGGGTAGCATGTTCACAGGATGGGGTGTCTTGGAGATGGTGCTCCACTCCCTGGAACGCCTGTGGAACCAAGCCCACTCTGAGGACGCTCACTTTGAGGTTGGTGGTGCAAATGATAGGGTCTCAATGTTTGCCACTCAAACCAGCTTGGGTTTTCCTGACTGATATTTTTTGACTTGTGTTTCTCCCGAATCCTCAACAAGCACAAAACGTAGTATCCAAAGATATCCGGTAGTGTTTTCATGGTTTTCAGGCTAGACGATCAAACATGCCAGCTTGTGGACCAACCCATGAACCAGTTCATGAGCAACATCAACTTCAAACAACATGCTATACTGTGGGGTGAACACCATCCTTTATTTTTCAACATGCAACCACATGACTAGGACTAGGAACTGCCGTGTGTTCAGTGGACCTGATTTCTTTCACCAACCTTGATGGCACGTATCGCCCAACCATCGCCCATCCAGGTTGAATTGAAGTTCATGGCGGAGTGCGAGAAGAAGAAGCAAGCGTACTTGGAGTCCAGGTTCCCAGGTGCCTGCATCTTCAGCGATGTGGCAGACATGAAGTCTTTGCGGGCTCGGACATCAAACGGGGGTTCACACGAAGTCCCCGAGGCTGGTTCAAGTTGAAGCCACCAAATGGTTTGTATGGGCCACACCTAACAAGATCTAATTGGTTTCAATGGGCCACACCTAACAAGATCTAATTGGTTGCAATGTGGATTTTTTGCAGCTTCACCCCAGGTTGATCTACTGGTGGGAGGATTCCCCTGTGTCAATGTTTCTCACCTCACCTCAACGCCGGGATCGGTGACAGATGAGAGTTGCTCATCCGGCCGTGGCTATCTTGGGTTGGAAAACTATGTGACGTGGCGAAAGCCCAGTCTGATCCTCATGGAGAACGTGGCATCGCTGTTCGAGAAACGGAAAGTTGAAGATGGTCAGACGGCGTCCTTTGTCACAAACCCCCCCTGTAAGACCCAGTGAAAGGATTTGGGGGCAATGGCAACTACCTTTAATACTTGGTTCAATGCTCACCTCAAACCAGTGCTTCCCGCATTGTGCTTGCTTAGGTTTGCCGTCATCAAGGGGCGGCTTGAGAGGCTGGGATACACCGTGTCCGGAGAAGTGCACAACACGGCAGACTACGGCTTGCCTCAGCAAAGGCGTCGCGCTTGGGTCTTGGCAGTCTTGATGCCGGAGTTGGACTGTCGTCCTGATGGTCTGAGCAAGTGTGTTCGCAGCTTCCAGCGTTGGAATTGCCCTTTGAACCGCTGTGTTGACCTGAACCTCAAACACCTACCCCGCAAAGATTCCAATCGTGGTGGGGAGAAATGGCGTGAGGCTTTCAAAGAACTGGGTGACACTTACGGAAAGGCCCGGAGGTATGTGAAACTTGAGGTGTTATGCAGTGTAATAAATTGGAATGATCTTGTCAAATAGACTGACACTGTTTACTAATTTGTTTTTTCCTAGCTATTTCCTCACTTGCAATCAAAAAAGGACTGACTTCAACTTGTTACTAACTAGGCGTAAAGAGGAACCAAACCAATACCTGAATGTTCTTATGGTTTTGGAGAGAGCCCTCAATTCTCAGGGGGTCATGATTAGCAGCCAGGTTTCTGCCACGCGTCGACCGTGCACCATTGCCAGGCAAAGCTCCAGAAGCGTGTCCAGCAACTGCGCATCTTGGCAACGGGGTGCAATGAGCGTGAGCTGGCCATTCTTGCAGTTTGCGTGGAGGATCTTTTGACCAACCGGAATTTTGATGCCATGAAAGAACTTGCTGTCATTCAGGTGGAGCCTTGGTTACAGTAATGAATAGTTCTGCTCAGCCAACCTGTGATCTCAGGGTTGTATACCATTGAGTTTAAAGCTCGGTGTGTTTTTCTGGGCCCGCACCTGCGCCCAGGATCAGAACTTCAACCGGCAGACCATCCCAAAGTCCAACTTTGCGACTAGTTCGTGTCTCATCCCTCACGGCAAGTACGTTGCAACTGGTCCGGGCAAATTCAGGTTTCTGAGCGCCAAGGACTGTGACCGACTATGGGTTTGAGTTTGTGTTTTAATTTGGGCAGCTCAGAAACGATGCCAAACTTAGTGAGAGAATCTGGAATCTGATGAACAATTTGTTAGATGCAGTTCACAATCTTTGTGGAGTGGATGTCATTACCACCATGAAGCTCGGAACTAATTCAGATTCAAGATCTTTTTCTTTCAAGCGGTGCTTTTCCAATCCCCAGACCCGGGGTGTCTGAAAAACAATCTATACTTGCCATCTCTTCAATCAGATCAAAAACATTTTGAAACACATTTGGGACGTCAAGTCTTTGTCTAGTGACTTAGTGAAGGATCCACTGGGTGACCCACACCTTTCCCCAATCCGTCAGCCATGATTCCAAATCGCTCGCGCGCAGGAGCTAGCTCGCCTCCAGGGCATTGGAACGACGGATTGGGTGCACTACAACATGTCTGAGGTTGGTGAGGCTACAATGCGGTCCTTCATTGGAAACTCGTTCCCTGGTTTCAATCTGCTGGGGGTTGATCAGTCTTGGACACTAGGCACATGGTAGAAGACAGTAGTGAATAAAGACTTGCAGCCAAAACTGCCCCCTCCAGCGGATGCTCAGGTTCAGTGTCCCCGTGCTCCTGGGCGCACTGATCTCGGTCTTGGCAAACTGGTCTCCTCGGAGGTAGTGATTGGGAGGAGGAGCAATCAGCTTGTAATTAATGAAGCCCCATGGAATTCCTACCAACATGTGATGTGTTGGGGATTAGAACTTGGGGGCCTTATTTGCTAAAGGGCGCGTTGACACTTGACTTTGTCAGCGCCATGTTTGCCACACAATTCGCAATAGCGATATGATCTACACTGGTTTTGCGAAAAGGTAAGCTGCCGGGCAAATATGAGCACATGTCACATGTGGATACTTTCATGACAATGAAAACGGTCTGGAAGACCCATAACTCTAAGTTAGCAATGTTCATTTGGTTAGTTTTCTGTTTGCGAATCCATGTCAATGCCTTCATATTCTATTTCAACATGTCCGTTTAGGTCGGCATCAGTTGCATTGCTTTGCTGGCTCCCATTATGATATAAAAAAACGCAGTGTATAGCTCCAGCTACCCAGCTACTTTGTGTCAGTCTTGCTGCAGCTTGCTCTGCAGCCACCATGCCGCCTAAAAAGCGCCAGCGGACCAGCCAATCCAACAGCAAGGCACTCCAGCCCCAATGTATGACTGAAGTTGCGCCAGGGCGCCAGCAGCTGAAGGATTGGATTCAGGTTGCACACCAGGGCAGGCATGGGTATCCTGAGCCGCGGAAGTTTCCTCTCAACCAGGGAGGTTCTTTTCTGGACATCGTTCAACGTTGTTGGTGCGATGAGGATACTCTCCTCAGCGATAGCTTTGATGTAGTCAAGAAGTTGGGGATCATGGACAGCTCCAGCACAGAGGATGACTTCATCAAGAAATATCTCAAGATGGAGGACCCCGTGAAAAGAAATCATTGTTATTTAGTGGAGCGCGAAGGCCACCAAACCCTTCATAGATAGAAGAGCTAACACAAGGTCTTTTCCTTCTCCCCTCCCTCTTCCCCAACATATGGGCCTCCCTTGTCGCAGGACCCTCCAACCCCTGGCACTTTCTTCACGACTTCCATCCTTCAGTGGAGCTTCGCGAAGCAGAGCTTTTGGAGGATACCAGATATGGCCACGGTGATGGACATCGCCAAGAGCATTACCTTGGTCGGCTGGAGAGAAGAACCACGGCTGAATAGTGCAGGAGTGGAGGATAACGTGTTCCAAAGGGCCCAAAGCATGGTTTGCAAATTGTGCAACATCATTTGGAGATTTCTGGGTTCTGATGCCACCTACTGCCCAAAGGCTTAGTAACCACCTCAAAGGAACGGCGCCGCTGCAGAACTAGGCTGCGGAAGGTGAACAGCTCGCCGCTTTGGGATTTTTCTGGAGACATCAGAGTGGAGAGCTCTTCCTGGAAGAGCTAGCCGCCCCAATACAACATGAGAAGGGGACCAATAATACTATATTGGGATATCTGGAATAGATATATTAGATTCCTTAGTATTGGATAGATAGGGATGATTGGTGAATAGGAAACTTTAGATGGGCCAGGGGGGGGG